GTAATGAAATACACGAAAATTAAGTCAAATAGAGTTAGAATGTTAAGTTTCTGATACCAGGGAGAAAAAAATGGGAAAATCTTTATTATGCAAATTATCTTTGATGCGAGATTAAATATTAATAGTGATTTGCAATATTAATTTTTTCTTTAAACTCGATGTAAAATTTTCCTCGGTAATTTTATATAGCTGGGATTTTTTTTAAAATTATATTACTTGTCATTAAATTTCAGAATCTTTTATTTATTTATTTTCTTCTCATCGAAACTACTTTTATATTGTTAATTTTTTATTCAATTACCTAGTAAAGATTCTTTATGGAAATATAATCAGTGGTCTTCAAAGATATCTTTAAAAATATCTGCTGGAAGATTAATTTTTCTTATATTTTTTTTTCTTTCTTATGTAAAAAAAAAAAAAAAGAAAGGGGGAGAGAGGGAGAAAAAGGTATCCCCTGTTCTGGATTTTTACAGAGCTCAAAGTGAAATGTCTCGTTTCAAGGGAAAAATAGAGAATGCTTAAAGAAGGAGAAAGGGAAGAATGAAAAAGTGTTCTCTGAGACATTTTAACGAGAAATCGATATCTCTACTTTTAGCAATGAAGTACAATTAATTATTTATCATTTTTAAAAACACACTCTTCTCTCCTTTTGAACTTCAATCGTGAAAGAAATTTACAGTTTCTTTGTTTCCCAAATTGATTGTTACTTAAACAGTTACTATATTATAGCTGTATAGATTTTACAATATTACAATACACATGATAAGAATTTCTTATTTTTAAAAGTTTTAAATTATTTTAAATTAAATATAACGTGATAAACGCTAATGTTAATATTTAAGTAATGTTAATATTTAAGTAATGTCTTTTATGAAAATTTTTTGTAAAAAAACTTCAGTTTTGCATTAAATTTTAAACCAATTTTGAAATCAATCAATACAAACATTTTCCAAATGAAACCAATCTAATATGCAAATATTATACAATTTCGAATTAACAATAATTAATATACTACACACACTCATCCTCTAATTTCATTTCCAGTTATTAATATCTATTAATTTAACAATTAATCATTTCATTTCTATCAACTCTATCCATACCATTAACGCATGTACACAATCTTTCCCATCCATTATAATAATTTCAACATTGATTTCCTCCTCACGACCACTATCGTTAATAGTTTACCTTTAACACCGTTATATTTATTTCTCAATTTCCCCATTTTCTTTTGAATCGCTCTCTTGGTTTCCTTTTATTTAAAAAAGAAAAAGAAACACGCTTGAGACAAAAAAAAAAAAAAAAGAAAAAAAAAAGATCGAAATGTTGACGTTTCATTGGCTTGCAAAGTAGTTTCTATTGTTCCCAGCAAATATTTAAATTGTTATATCTGTGGTCGGTGGAGGAAATCTCGCTTGGATGTAACATCGACGGAAGAATACGCGGAAATTCAATTACAGAGATAATTCTGCATTAATATTTGGATTCCGCGGGGCGACGAGTTTTCCTCTTTCTCTTTCTCTCTCTCTTCCTCTTTCTTCCTTTTTCACTCACGCACAGGCACACGTTCGATTTCAAAACTCGTCCTTTTTTTCGCTTTATCTTCGACGATAATTGATAATTCGTCCACGAAAGAGGAGGAATTTCTTCCCTCTTTGTTTCCGTAAATGTTTCAGATTCGAAGGGATCTCGCGATTTTTCAAAGAATCCTCGATCATTAATCATTTATCGATCATTGTGGAAATTATTTTACCTCCGGGAATTTTTGAAGAATTATTATTCTTCGCGTGAGTCTTCCTTGCAAAAGGAATTAAATTGGATCAAGTTATATTAAAGCCAACTGTTGGGAAAAATTATTATGCGCCATCCTTACGTCGTAAAACGTTTTATTTGTTTTTAAGTCTTGTTAAATTTATTTATTTATCTGACGATCATCTTCTTTTCTTTTCCTTCTTTTTTATATATATATATATAATTTTTTTTATTTAACATTCGATCAAACGAGTTAATATATTAAGATTAAACGTTAAATAATTTAAAAAAAAATTATATAAATAATTAAAAAACCTCGCAATATTATATTAATATTATAATTAATTATAATATATTTATATTATATTAATAATTAATTTATTTATCAAGGAAGGATCATTGACCAATTTCCAATTTACTTTTCTGACCGTGTCCTCTCCATTTTGTGTTGCAGGCGTTCCTGGAAATGGCGGATGAAAATGCTGCAGCGACGATGGTAAATTATTATGCCTCGTGCATGGCCCAGCTCCGTGGCAGAGCGGTCTACGTTCAATTCAGTAACCATCGTGAACTCAAAACGGATCAAACGCACACCAACAATGCGGTAAGTGACTCATCATCGATATTCCTGCTTGTTAATTATTTAATTGTGGCTTTGAAATTTTTTTAAAAAATTGAAAATTATATATTCCAAAAATTATATTCAAATTTAGAATATTATTGAATATTGATCTTGAGACGAGAAATTAATTCAAGAAAGATACTTTTTATTTAATTAATCTCCTTATAAATTTCTTTCTTAACGTTATAGCTATGTGTTTTTTTTTTTTACAAAATTATTTATTATTTATTATTCTCGCGAAAAAGAAATGATATCGTTTCTATCTTTCTCTCAATCACGATCGTAAGAAAAAATAATTGCGCCAATTTGAAGAAATAAATTTGCGACAGTGCACTTTCCAAATATCGTACGAAAAAAAAAAAAAAGAAAAAAGAAAAGAAAGAAATTCAAAAACAAGTCACTCTAAAAATCCACAATAAAACGAATTTTACCGCGCATTAGTGCAAAGCTCAAAGAAAAACCGGTCTTTCCACGCAGTTTTTTCTTCCTCCATACCGTTCAAGAAGCGTATTCAACGCTATCTTCCAACCGAAATTACTATTAAAAAGTTTTAGGGGAAAGAGGCTGAAGTCTGAAAAACATACTACCCTGCGTGGTTTTCCTCTGGCCAAGGGCTGTTTGCCCCCTCCTCCTACGTGACGACTGAATATGCGAGAACCGGACATACGCGATAATTTGCAGGCAAACGAAGAAAGCGCTCTTTGGATCCCTCCCCTTCCCCTTCTCTCCCCTCTTATATATTCACTTATTGCGAAGGCTGTTCGCGCAATTACTTTTTAACGAGTGGTCACGATATTTCACCCTGCTGGATTTTCACCATTTGCTATCGTGGACAAAGACGCGCGAAATTAGAGAATTCTAAAGGATGCTTCGCCATTTTCTTTTTTTCGTGCAATATTGGATTGGAAAGATATTAAAAGAACGGTATGTGAAATATATAGAATTTTGGAAATTTAAAGAAAGGGAATTGAGATTATGTTTTTGAATATTTTTAAGGCTTCTTTTGTTACGAACGAAAAGATTTATGAAAGTAATCGAATTAATGAAATGTTGAAAAGAAAATGATATCTTTGTCTTTTTTTGAAAATTATAATTTTGAAAATTATAATATAAATTAAATATAGAGTAATATTAGATATGTAGAATTTTGGAAATTTAAAGAAAGGGAGTTGAGATTATGTTTTTGAATATTTTTAAGATTTACGAACGAAAAGATTTCTGAAAGTAATCGAATTAATGAAATGTTGAAAAGAAAATAGTGATATCTTTGTCTTTTCGAAAATTATAATTATTGGAAGATGAGTATATAAAAGTAGAATAAATAGAATTAAATATAGAGTAATATTAGATATATAGAATTTTGGAAATTTAAAGAAAGGGAGTTGAGATTATGTTTTTGAATATTTTTAAGGTTTCTTTTGTTACGAACGAAAAGATTTCTAAAAGCAATCGAATTAATGAAATATATCTTTTGAAAAGAAAATGGCGATATCTTTGCCTCTTTGAAAATTAATTTGATTTCTAATTTGAATTTCCTAATATTTCGTACAATTGTAACTCGACATTAAATTTGACGAATAAAAACTTGTATCTTAGATCTAATTTTATCCTAAAATGTTAAGATGGCCGTCTGCCTCAGCTTCGATAATATTCGGTTTGCGGGTACATTTATGCTTCGATTATCGATATCTTGGCCGGTGTATCTCATTGGAAGCGCGTAATCGAAAGCTTTACGCGACAATGTCGAGCCAGTATCTCCTCTCAAAGCCTGTGAAACGCGTTTTCGGGATTCAGATTGTCTTCCTTCCATCCCGCCCCATCCACGATATCATTCGATGAACGTGATTAATTAACGTGTCCCATTCGATGCAAATGTTGGCTTCGAAGAATTTTATCGAGAGATTTACGGTGGCGGGAAATTGGCATTGGATTTTTACGATAAATTTCCCCATCTCGACCGTTCCACTGAATATTTTCCACTTGTTTGAATTTGAATAGAACAGGCGAAATGATCATAAAGTTCTTAATAAATCTTCACTTTGAACACTTTTTTTTTAAAATATTATTCCACGGTTGTTGTCCTCGATGAATGGAAAAATTATCTTTCGAAATTGTTTTGTCATTGAATTTATGGAATTTCTTTCGTTATTCGCGCGATTCGAAGAATAATTTCTTAATTTTTTTCAAGTGACAACTTCTTTTCATGGATATCGAGATTTTAAGGAATCAAAAATGCTCGAGAATTCGTAGAATAAAATCGACACAAAGAATGTGTACAAAGTGTAATTATAAAATTCAGATTTCAAAATTTTCTTTTTACCAACAACTGATTGATGTCCAATTGTGCGCTTAGATATTGAAATTCGGATGAAGATGTTTATCAAATGATTTCGAATCGAATTACTATCCTGTAATTGTGCAATCAAAATATAAAGGCGTATATTTTAATTTAAAAAAAAAAAAAGATGGAATTCCCTTTCGTCTCGATATACCGTAACTAATCTGTCGAAACAACGCGACACGATCGTCGAAATTATTGCCAAAATAGGAGCGTGCAAAGCCTCATCAACGATTCGTAGTCAATAAACGGGGACGGTCCTGGAAACTCCATTATAATTAACACGTCCATAATTTATGAACAATCCCCGGGGCAATCGAGTCCACTTGGTCCCCTCCGTTCTCAGCTCACTGGATACGTCGATATAAGTTGTCTTCCCGGATATTATACAATCTTTTGTCATCCCTTTGCTTCGTTTATCGCGATCCTTGGTTATATTCGATGTATATTTATAGTCTCGAGCAAAGGAATTTCTTTTTAACGAAGAGAGAGAGAGTTTTCATAGAGTTTTCATAGTTTTAATTACGTTTAAAATTAATTTAATTACGAAGATTTTCGATTAAATATATTTTAATTTGGAATTTAAAGGAAATGAAAGTTAAATTAACGATTCTAATAAAATATTAAGAGAAAAGAAATTTGCGGTAATCTCGATGCAGGATACGGAATCGGGGGGAAATATTCGTCAGCTTGTAAGCGCACTAGTCAACAATCCGTAAATCAAATTCCACGTTACGCCCCTCTGCTTCTCTTTGCCGCTCGTTTCTTTCTTCCGATTTGTTAACATGTAATAAAATTTCCCTCTTCAGTTGCTGTTGAATTCCCTGGTTCAAACAACGGGCCTCGATTGTACTTCTACGCGAGCTCGATTTACATCGCGTGTACCCTGGGAAAACAAATCCACTTCTAACGTACGGGCTTTTGCTCCCCGCCGAATTTTTGTTCCATTCCACGAAAATTTTTTTTCAATAGTCCTTCCACCCATACACAATCGTGTCGCGTTACTTTTCAAAGTTCAATGAAAATTTCTAGTTCCCAAATATACGTGAAAATGATGAAGAGGTGGAAGAGGTGAAAACAGGGATCGAGTGGTACGTCATTGCGTCAGATACGAATAACTAAAAACGATTAAATTTTCTTATTTTTACTTGATATTCGTCCCAAATGTTAATTCGCAAATATTTTCCAAAATAAATATTATTATGTTTTTATTCTCACGATTTTTAGAAGTGAATTGTTCTCTGTAGAATACGAGTTGAAATAATAATAAGAAAAATGGAAATCAGAATACAAAAATATAATAAATATATGAAAATTAATTTATCGATTGGAAACAAAGTTAATAATAAAGAACACGAAAGAGAATTTCGAGCAGAAAATTTAAATTTATTCTACAATTGATCTACTAGTCACATGATATATCGCAAACGTGACTTTCAACTGTTTTTCGGTGTCCTTGCTTCCCTGATAGAAAAATCGCAATTTTTAGAGAAGGAAATCAATTAACGTAGCTTGTAATCGATAGCATTCACACCGTTGGGGAAGCGTTTCCGGCAGGAGGAGCATCATGGAGGAATTAGTTCCTCCGATGAAATACGGACCAGATATCGTCGATATTTATTTGTATTGTTTTTGTTATGGGTAAGAAACGAGCGAGCCAACTTTTTACGACAGTTTTCTCTCCGCCATAAAGTGAGGATATTACTTATTAATTACGAAAGTTTTCTTATAGCTTTGGAAAGGAACAGGAAACACGAGCTTCCTTCTTTTTCCCCCCCTCCCTCTCCTCTTTTTTCAATCGAAAATAGTCGTTGTATATATCGCGAAGAAAGAAAAAGACGATTTCGTTTCGACGAAAGTTTGAACGAAAAATTCAACACCCACAATTTTTCCACCAATCCAATGTCTCGTCGAGTGAACGGTCTTCAAGTATTCTAAATATTTTAAATTAATATCGAGCACAATTATTATTATTATTTTTATTATTTTTTAATATTTTTTAATATTATTATTATATTTTTATTATTTTGTTATTATTATTATTATTATATTAGTCTCGAGCAAAATTTCACCGAAACGTCAAACTTTTCTTTTTACGTTTCTTTCCTATCGAAATTATCCTCCCCTCCGTTCTCATTCGTCGACCCTAATCTTTCGAAAGTGTTCGCTCGTCAGAAATCGAAAAAAAAAAAAAAAAAAAAAAAACCGGATTTCAAACAAAACACTTCCCCCGAACTCCGCCCCCCCCCCCCTTCCCTTTCCGCCCCCCTAATTTTTCAAAAGGGTTCCCCCCCCAAAAATCAAAAAAAAAAAAAAAAAAAAAACACCGGATTTCAAACGAAACAGTTCCCTCGAACTTGCTCCTCCCATCGTCTTCGAAACTTCCCTCGTAACCCACTTCCGCGCCATCTATAATTCATGGACGCTCCAATTTATCATCATCCAGGCCCCGAGCACGATGTACATAAATCGATATACCGGATCGAATAACGCGTAAAAAATCGAAAGCCTCTCGATCCATTGGAGAATCGAGGCCCGAGATCGGATGATAAAATGTTAATTACCGTTAATAAGCGGAGGAGGTTGATAAAGTCTGACAAAGCGGGGGAGGGGGTGGCTCGAGTTTCACGACGATGACACGAGG